CACCACTGAGCATTAAATGGGCTTCCATTTTGTTTGAGTGATGATGAAGCTTCATAAATTTCCACTTGAAACATGAATCTTAACTTGCTTTGAAAAGCTTCACAAATTTCTGGCTCTGGCTGAGCCCAGGCAGTACAAAAAACCTTCTAACCAGAAGGTGGTTGCTGTTTTTGCAAACTGAATTTGAGTTTGAGGGACTGTCTAGACATAGCAAAGAATTTAACTCCTCTGAAGAAATTTTCCAGTCATTGCAAATGTAGGCTATTCTTTAAAAGAGTAGAAAAGAATATATAAGAAAGGAATATGTCTAGTATTTAGGAAACACCCACTCACTAGAAGTTTGTTTGATTTCTTTTACTTTTTAATATGTTTTATCTAGAGTGTAGTATAATAGCCACATGTAGCAACTTAGCTGGAAATTAAAATAAATAAATTTTAAAATTCAGCTCATCAGTCCCACTATCCCTTGTCTGAAGCTCACAGCAGCCACCTGTGGTCCCTACCATATTGGAGAGGACAGACATAGCGTATGTCGTCATCACAGAAAGTTCTTTGGAGACAGCACTGCTCTACAGAGAAACCTTTCACAAAATCACTAAAACCAATGTTACACTAGCTCCACTGTCCTCCTGTAGTTCTTCAGGTACGGAACAGTTTTTCCCATCTCTCTGCCTAGAGATCAGAAAGTGGCTGTTTACTCTTGGCTAGAGGTGAGGGAAAGCAGAAACTGCTAGATACTCCAGAAGGAATTAGTCTTCATTAGCATGTGCCTTTCTGCTAAATCATCCTCTGGGGAAAGGTAACATGCATTCTGATGTCTAGAATCCCGAGGTGCCCTTAATCGTTCCCACCCTGGTGCAGCTACAAATCACTCAAGTTAATCCATTCTCCCAAGCTTTCTAAAGGGATAATTGAATTCATTCTTTTGCAGCCTTGGTCTGGGTTCCAAAAGCATCATGTACTCCCACACCCACTCCTGTCCAGCGTGAGGTGAATGATCCCACATCCTGGCCCTGCTCTGAGCTTATGAGAGCTAGCATGGGGTGTTACTCATTTTCATATCTCCATTGTCTAGCCAGGCACAGCACGTGGAAAGCACCCCAGTGAGTGTTTGCTGAAGAAATTAATTAATCAATTACCTAATCAATCAAGATGCCTTCAGTTTTCCCAGTAGGACTCGTACTGATTATTTCTACAGAGAATCCATTCCCTAGCAGAGTGATTCACAAGTCTGGCTGCTCATTAGAATCATCTGGAGAGCCTTACAAAAACTACTGAAGCCAGGGACCCACCTAGCCCAGTGGAACCCAAGTCCCAGATGGTGGAGCTCAACAGCAAGGGTCCTGTAGACACCGCCCCAGAGAATGGATTGTACCGCCTCAAACGAGCACTGTGGGATAACCAGCTGCTTCCTGTGCTGTGATCTAGTGCCTTGTTTTGGGAGGAACGAAGTTTGAAGCAGACAAAACAGCAAGTGGCAAGCAGTGGGGAATGACCAAATGTATAGTAAGAGAAAAAGCTCCTTGATCACACATGGGTCTGATCTCACAGTTGTCTTTCTCAGTTATAGGAGGGTATAGTCCCAGTGGTTCCAAGAAGAGGTTATAGGAAGGAGGCATTCGGGAAGGTGAAGATGTAAGTCCACTGACGTTTTACTGTTTGGGGTGCCAGTGAATGTGAGAGTGCAGTGATGCTTCTGGTTGCAGGTAGATCTTGGATGTTCAGAAAGCACACAGCCCCTTCGCATTGCACTCCCTGCAGGGGGCAGCTCTCATTGGCAGAGGGACCTGTTCTTTGTCTCTTGCATTCCACTGGGCCGTGACAGTTTGCTTAAGTTATTTGAGCCCTGTGGTATGTTATCTCCCTTAACCCCTGGTGTGTAGTTTATTTTGCTAACTCTTCAGGACCTGTGCCCTATCTGCCTAACTTCCTCTGTCTCCTGGCCTCAGCAGCTAAGTTCTGATTTGGTAGTCATGAATAAGGGCTCCTTGCTTTTAACATGTTTTTTCCTTTTTGATATTTACATCCCAAGTCCATCCCATGCGCTGTCATTTTTACCATCAGAGGAGCATCAGTCTGATCTCACAGTTATCTTACTCAGATATGGGATGGTACAGCCCCTGTGGTTCCAAGAAGAGATTATAGGAAGGAAAATTCCCTGTGGGAACGTGTTGTCTTCATGAAGACTAGATAAAACTGTCTGAAACAACCAGGAGAATATATCTCTTTAAATTCCTTTCTGGAAGCTAAAGTTGTAAGTACATTTGACATCATGTTGAATTTTTAAAAACAGATTGCAAAGCTACATGCATGCTACCATAGTAAGTATGGAAAAATATGTCTATCAGAAGAGAAACTGACTTGCAAACAAAATGAAACTGTAGCAGTAAATAAGGATAAAGCGAGAGTTGTAAGTGTGGGGAGATCGGAGAACTCCTTCCAGATACCACCCAAAGGTCTCAGCTGGGAGAAGATGTATCCACTGGAAGCATCTCCCAATGACTGGGTAAAAGGTACTGAATATCCACAAAGTTTCCCTCAGACAGGGGAAAGTAGCCCCCAGGCAGTGACCCAGCCAGAGCGGAGGGTAAAGTAAGAAGTAGGTACCAAAGACAGAGGTGGCAGGAATATGATCAAGCTAGATGGTGGTTAGGAGCAAGGCGAGAGGGAAGATATGGGGTCAGGAATGGGTTAAGAGGTTCAGGAAGTCGGGAAGTGTTGGACATCACATTCCACAGGGTCTGGCTCATGATTTTTGAGCGCAAGTTTTCTAACAAGGCACATCCAGCAGGATTTTTGTTTCTTCTTTCTCTTTTTAATTCAAGTACCAAGTTGTCTTAGTTACTTTTTACTCGTTGCTGAGACAAAATACCTGAAGCCCAAAATTGGGAAAGGAAAGGTTTATTTCTTAGTTTTTGGAGGTTTCAGTCCATACTCAGTTGGCTCCAAGGCAGGGTGGCATAGCAGAGCCACAACTCATGGCGGCTGCAAACAGCAAGGCAGAAACCAGCAAAAGAGCAAAACATACCTTCTTCCTGCCATTACATCACATCCTGGCTCCACCCCTGGGTGGGTGTAGCACTGACACCATCAATCCAAACACTAGACAATGAACCATCACAAATGCACAATGCAAACTCATGAAGCCTGAGGGCCACAGGCATAAACCATGACACAAGTAATACTGTCTTGCCAGTATTAAAAAATGACTTGAAGAAAACATTCACATTGTTAAACCCAAGGTAAGATTAAAAGCTGGAAAATAATGGCTGCTATTGGTGGTGTATCTGCTATGTGCCCAATAGCCAGTAAGATGGCACACGTACCACAGTTGATCCTTTCAGTGATGCCGAGGATGTCCCCATTGCCAGCCCCACTTTATGAGAAGCCTGAGGCTAATTGACCTGTCCAGGGCCACACACTCAGGAGGTGGTACAACCAGGCCTTGGTCCACCTCTCTATGACTCCAAAGAGAAAACTCCCCCCACTGTGTGGCAGTTTTGCACCTCATCAAAGGCCGCCTCTTCTGTCACCAGCCAACACTGGTGACCCGCCCACATTTTCATTATGTGGGACATGGCAAGGCTTTTATGAGGCTCCACCACAGGCTGTTTTTCAAATTTATTTAATTCATCCATCATGTTCTGAAGCCATTTGCTTTTTTATATTGGACAGATGTAATGAGATTTTGGACACTAAAAAATGTTTTTATTAAAAGTTATGACCCAGAGCTAGTTGGTAGGAGCCCTGCCATAAATCCCTAGGAGTGTGCGAATTTATAAAAGATGTAGCAACATAACCTTAACCTTTAGGCCACGTGGTAGGTTATAGGATTGCTTAGACACTATCTCACCACCGCTCCCTGTCTCTGGCCTAATAATAATAATAATAGCTGTTATGGGGTTATTTGACTGGTAACTTTTTATCTCATGGTAGCCATGACTGAGTTGTGGTGACCCACAGCCTGATAGACCAGGTGACTGATGGCCAGGTTTGTGGGGGACTTGCCTAGGCCCTGTGACTGTGCTTGTGGGCACACTGGATCTCCTCCTTTGCTGTAAGTCCTGTGCCTGGGACAGAAGGAAGTCATGGACACGTTTTCCGCAGATGAGTGAAGATGGTTTCTGGCGCATGGGAGTATTGGGGACTATAGGTGGTAGTTTTCCTAGTCTTCCACTACCAACCTGAAGCGCTCCTTTCTATTGGTGCATAAAACTGCATTCTAAGGCCAGTAGTCACTGATTTATATTAACATTATGCCACTTGGAAATCATCCAAAGCATAACTACCTTGTACATATAGACCAAAACATGTTCATTAAAATGTGTGCATATTAAATAGTGTATATTATCAACAATGTATAATATGCACAATATCTTTAAAAGTTAAGAGAACAGTTGGATTTGGGCAGTTGCCAAATTTGTTTGCACATCTTTGAGCACTGTTACGTAGTGCTCCTGGAGCTGCCGGGGATTTAGATATAAATGCCACACCATAGAGTAGGACGGTTCTCAGAGGGCACCTCTGCCCAGGGCGTGGAGGAGAGCTCTGTGGAAGAGGAGCTGGCGATCGCTGTGTTAGCGGAGACTAGCAGAAGCACACTTTGAGCAGCGAGGACAGCAAGCACAGAGGACAGATAACCAGCTGCTGCCAGGAGTCCAGTTTGGCTAAAGCTTGTGAATTTTTTTTTCCTTAAGTGTAAACCCCATGCTCTTATCTGTAACCACTGTTGAGTCTGGCTGGGGAAAGTCGGTAATTGCAGGGACACAGATTTTCACTGTACAAATTTACTGTTGCTGTATTTCCTAATCAGGCCCATGTTTTATCATCTGCTTGCGCTGGAAGCATATTCCAGGATTTTCACAGTCCATTGGCACCAGCTCCCGCCTACCGAGAGCATGGGAGTGTAAACCATAGATACCGTCATCATTAAACTCATAAATCCATGTCATTTGTGTGTCATTCACTCCATCCTCATTCATCATCCCTTCCGCTTTCAGAACAGCCAGCCCTTCGAGGACTTTGAAGAGCGGTTTGCAGTGGCCATGCCGGTAAGGAGAGAGGGCCCTGTCTGTTAACTCTTTCCTTCCCAGTGCCATCATCCCTCTCATGCTCATCAGTCATGCGTTGTTACAGAACAGAAACTTGCCCGTGGACCTGGATGAGATTCTTGAGGCTGCAAAGGTAAGCCTCAGGGCTCTTGGGGAGTGAGGGCTCTTCAGTTCCTTCTTGTGTACCCTGCACTGTCCCCAGACACTGGCTCAGCAGCCAGTGCTCTGCCCTCCATGCTGCAGTGGGGCCCGTTGTCGTCATGGTCACAGGAAGGCCGAAGTCAGAGTATATGTACACACGTGTGTGCAAACATGCACATAGGACAGGGTATGGAGGAGAGAATGTATACCCTGTGTTTTCATTAAGTATTTTTGAGGCTCCTAACATGTCTCAGACATTGTGACAAATGCTAGAGGGATAATAGTGAGGAAAGTTCAGCCCCTGTTCCTGAGAAGCTCCCAGTATGACCTTAGGCAGCAGCGTTGCATAGGGATGGGGAGGGTAGCCTCATCCAGCCTCGCTTAGCACAGTGCAGTGCAGTGTAGTGTAGCAGAACAGTGTAGGAATACAGACACAAAGGTGTGCATGTATACCACTGAGAGTCAAAAATAGGCATGATCGCTCTTTATCCAGTACATACCCTCATATGGATGTGCCTGCTGTAGCTAGCATTTGGACAGATTGGTGGATATACAGGCCAATGAACAGTGTCACTCCTGACTATTAGGAAGTGAATAGCATCACTCCTGAATGTCTGGAAGCTGGTACGACAGAGATTGTCAGGCTTGGCAGCAATTTGCAATCACAGGAGAGCTTTCTAAAGTCCCAGGGACCAGGGCTGTTTCTCACAGGCTCTCTGGGGTTGGACCAAGCTTCCCTAATTTCCCTAGGCAAGGCTGAGAACCACTGGTCTGGAAGAATCTGGTAAGCTGTTTCAGACGTCAGACAGTAGAGTGGGCTACTTCAGTTGGGAAACACTGCCCAGAAAATAGAAGCCTTCTAATTGTTTCCTGCAGGAGAGTTGGGAATGGTAACAGGAGAGGGAAGCAGGGAGAGTCCTAGGTAGAGAAAGAACCTGGGGTGCCTGCTGCTCCCCTAGCCCACTGTGCTGTCCTGCACAACACTGCGTGGCTGGGCTCTACGGCCTGTCCTTCTGGAAAGCAACCAGCTCACAACAGTAGGAACAGGAACATGTGTTTGCCACTGTTAGCACAGTCCTTCCTGCTCTTAGCACAGAGGCTGAAGGATGGTGGGCATTCCCATACCTCTGCAGCCATTACAGTCCCATGAGACTCCTGACGCCAAAGCATACAGAGTGGGTCTGTATCCTCAGGATCTCCCTCAGGGACTCTGGTAGTTGTGTCCTACTTCTCAGAAGGACCTTGCAACCGAAGTCATGTGGCACTTTAGATGTTCCTGAGAGTCGTCACTAGTTCCTATGAAAGCTTAGCTGTGCAAGGCCAGCCCAACAGAGATATGCAGGGGCTGCTTCCCAGACATCTCAGCTCCTTCTCTTCTGCACTGACCTTGGCAGCTTCTAGGCCAGAAACCCTTGGCAGCTTACCCCAGAAACCCAAAGAAGGGACACACCTGCCATCTCTAGCTGCATCTCTTCTGAACACAATTCACCAGAAATACCAGGGAGGGAAGGGCCTTGCTCTGGCAACATCCAGACACCTTCCAGTGGGTGCGCGTTGCAGCAGACCTCTTCACACCCCTGGCTCCTGGGGAGGAGACTGCAGAGCTGGGCTTTAGCAAGGCTAACTACGATCTGGTGAAGAAACAGACAGAGAAACAAGGTGTTAGCCACTCTGTGGGCTGGGTGCATCCTGTGTTTAGCTGATTATCATCAGCAAGTCCTTAGCCCAGTTGCAGTTGGCTCCTTTATAAAACGGAGTGACAGTGGCCCCATGCTGGTGACTGAGGGTGTGCAGTGAGGTCAGACATATGACGGCGTGTGCAAAGGTGTATTGTAGGCTAGAAAACGTTTTTACAAATGCAAACTCTTAATTCTCTTGGGGCCTTAAAAGTGATTAATTAGAACAATATTTTCAGATAGAATATGGTTTATTAAGTTACAAATAAAAGGAATGGGGTTCATATGGGGAGAAGGGCTGTGAAAGCAGATACTATCACAGATTGTTAATCAAACATGGTTATTCGGATTATTTTTAATTTTATGGCCCAAGAATCTTCATTTTTCTATAAAACTTAATTAACTCAAGGTTCTATTTAAATAGCAAATCTGGTGGAATGAAGTAACAATCTGTATTTTATGCCTCCTCGTGTTTTTTTCTGTTTAATCCCTGAGTGAAAATCGTCAGGCAAGAGGAAAGCCAATAGCTCAAAGAAGGAAGGTTATTTTAAAAGTTGTGCTTAAGGAGAAAATTAGCCAATAAATTGTATTTACGATGTTAGTAAAAGTATGCAGCAAGTTCAATACATTTGAAATGTAAATTGTGTGACTTAATTATTAACTTCATTTTAATATTTTCCTAACACTGAAAATGTAAAAAATGTCATATTCCGATCACAGAGCCACCCAGGCACTTCATTTGAATTCCTTAAAAATGGTCCTGTTAGGAATTTGGTACAGCATCTGATGGACCAGCATCACTTCACCCAGTAACAGAAGACGCAGAGACAGCTGAGTCCAGGCAGACAAGGGGCCACTCCATGCATGCTGCCACCTTGCTCCCATCCTCTGCCAGATCAGTTACCACGAGAGGTAGAAATGGGTCCCGAAAGGGATGGTGAGGGGACGTGAATCACACTCAGTCCCACCACAGCCTGGCCCTGTCCACTCATCTGCCTCCTGTCTTCTGCTGCTGCTCACATACCCCCTCCTATGGCGTTCCCGGCTCACACAGTCTCATTGCCTGAAGACCCCTGCTCATCGTGTCACTGGGCCAACTGCGCCACTCCTGCAGGATTCATATCTAGGCTGTTTTGTTTGGAAAACTCACCAAACCTTATTTGACCTGAGCTGACGAGATCCCATACCAGGTGCCCCTACAGTGCCCCACAGAGACCTCTACCACCCTTCCTGCCGTATTACCGTTAGGCGAGCTGCATTATGGAACCTTCCTGTGTGCCAGGCACAGTTAGCAGAATGGAACTCATAAAGAAGAGTAGAAAGAGCCCTACCAGGCTAAGATGCTTTGCTTTCAGGGAAAAGAGCCATTTGTGCCTCTATAACCAGGAATAACCAAACTTCAAGGCAAGTGGAATGAAGTGACAATCCCTTTTCTGATATGTCTGGGATGACAAGTGTTTCAGATTTTGGGCTTTTTTTTCTCCATGTTTGTAAATATTGGTATACATATAATAAGGTATCTGGGGGTTTGTTTTAAACACATTTATTCATTTATGTTCATGTGCATTTTAAACTGATAGCCTAAAGATGATTTCATACATCTTTAGTGCACCTGTGTTCTGACTGTGACCCTTCACATGGATGAGGTGTAGAAATGTCCACTTGTAGCATCTTGTAGCATTTGGATTTCAGAGCTTCTTAGATTTTAGATACTCAGGTTAGGGATGCTCAGCCTCTAACTCATCCACGAATGTGCTGAACAGATATCACCATCCCGATCATCCAGGTGGGGTGCGCTGGCACTGAGCTATACAGATAGGAAGGGCAGTGTGGACATACAGTGTAGACTCACTCATTTTCAGAGAGGGAAGAACTTCCTTTCTTTGAGTGAATTATAAAGATGCAGCCAGAGGCTGGTCGGAGCAGAATCTGAGTTCAGGGGACCCACAGGGTAGGACAGGCCATCACACTGTTCCATTGCCGTCTATGAAGGACCGGTTTTCAGTATCCTCGTTAGAAGTGCTCATAGTCTGAAGCTGGGTGGAGAGTGAACTGTCCTCAGTGAAAAAGTCTGCACAGAGCATGTGATTGTATACTTTCCGTTATTAAGTCAGGCCGCAGGTTCTGACTGGAGACTCTCCCCGTGGCCTCTGAAGCCGGAAGTGTTTGCAGATTAATTCTATCTATCTTGAGGAGACTCTTGGCTGCTGAGCCAGCCCTGCTAGGTCCTTCTGTGACAGATGGGAAGACAGATGAAGAAAAGTGTCTGTGGGGATGGAGTTCAGGCAGTGATCGATAGTGTATACACTGGCTGGTTTTGATGCCTTTCTTGGATTTAAATGAAATGTTTCCTTTTCCTCCAACTACATTTTCATCCTAAAGTTAAACTATTTTAGGTCCACTTATTTGCCTATATGTTCTCTATATAGAAAATTACAATCCTGGCCTGAGTGACCTTGATGTCACTTCTATAAGAATCATTTTATTCCTCTGCAAAAAAGAGGGTGATGAATTCTTTCTCCCAGAGTTCATATTACCGGGCACACTCGCTGAGAGCTGGCATAAAGACATCTCTTGCTGTCCTTCCACCAGAAGGCATCTCATTTGTTGGACGTGCATAGGAGAGAAAAGCCAGCTCCATTCTCTTCCTGCCCCTGTCCCCTTGGGAAAAGACACAGTGCTGGTAGCTGACAACCAACAAGTGGAAGTGGTGTTACTGCGGCTTGTGTGAGAGGTGGCTGGGGTGACACTGACAATCCTAAATGCATACGGTGCCCACTGAAGTAGGAATTGGGTCCAGCCACACCGAGCTGTTGTCTTTGAGATACAGAGGATTGGTAGTGACTGACTGGGCCTACAGTCACCTTGGGAGACAAGAGATGCTCACCCTCCTCAGTTTGCTTCAAAGCTGTGCCTAGAAGCCTCTGCTTTCTTGGTTACATGGTTATCTTTTTGTCTTTTCAGGCTGTGACTCAATTAGAACTTTTTGGGGACATGTCCACCCCTCCTGATATAACCTCTCCCCCCGTAAGTATACACAGTCTTGCAACCCCACTACCTTTTCTCCGCGGCGTGAGAACAAGAATCTGGTCTTTGGGTCTTAGACACCTGCTAAGGAATTTCACCTCTGGTTCTGAGCTTGCGACCTGAGCAAGCAAATTAGCAACCCTGAGCCTCTCTTTCTTCTGCTATTAACTCTCAGCCCAAAGAATTGTAGTGGTGGTTGTGTGTATCACTACTAGTATGCACTGAAATGCAGAAAAAATTTAAAAACTGAAAATTTGCATTTAGTATATTTCTATAATAAATTCATGAATTTTATTTCTTTTGAGTTATAATGAAGAAATTATGAAAGTAATGCAACAGTATTTACCAGAGTTCATATTACCTCTCTTAGAAAACATTATCAAATATCATATGCCCTTACAAAACACAGATTATAACCATACTGATGACTTAAACATTATGGCTTAACATTAGTCATTACAGCCATGTAGCTACTCATGTCTTTGGAGCTGTGCACCCAATTTAACAGTTTTTATGAAAAAAGTCTGATTCTGTCTTTCATATCAGCTGGTAATCAAGGGGTTAAAAGGAGTACCTGAGACAGGGACCACAAACTTGAGCCCAGCATGGGTAACATAGCAGCTTAGTGAGACCAGGGCTGGGGATCTAACTTAGTACAAAGACCTGGGATCAATCACCAGTCCAAAAAAAAACAGCGATTATGATACAGCTTCTGTTTTGAGAAGTAAAGGAGACCACGCACTCAGCAGTGGCAGGACATTACCTGAATGTGCTCCATCTGGCTCTGAGGAGCGAGACAGGAACGAGATCCATTTCCTGCCTACAGGGAACATGGGGTCCGGTTGAGCCTGTAGGCGAGGCAACATGAAGAGGGCTTGGTCAGCACTTCCCCAAACCCTGCACAGCACAGGAGTGGATGCCTCCTCTCCCCATGCCCAGTATCCCCTTTCGCCCCACCTTCTTTTCTGCCTCTCTCCATGCTTGTTTCTCCCTCCCTACCAGCCTGACTGTTAGCCTTGCATACCAGGATCCAAGCCTCCCTACACTTTGCAAGAGGCTTGGATTCCCAGCCATGGATACTTTAGTGAAAGCTCACATGAGAACAAATATTGCAGGAATCCCTAATTTGAAAATGTAAAAAAGAAAACAGAATTAAAACCCGAGCAAAATTGAATCCGAGTACTGAGTACATTCAAAAGCACCCTGTCCCCTGCCTCTCCCCAGAGGTAGCTGAAGAACTCTTAGCCCAGCTGCACCAGTGAAAGCTGCCGGGAGGGGCAGCTCATCCAGGCACTGCAGTTGTGCAAATGCAGAGATAGTGTTATGGCTCATTGGCAAGATGCACCTTACAGAGAAAGTGCCGTAACCTTACCTCTGAGGACAGATGGCACGAGACCCTGCTGTCCACAGCTGCTACTAGGGAAGCCAGGCACAGCTACCCTGCTGCTTGCACCTGATGTCCAAAGCATCAGAGCAGGAGCAGGCTGCAGCTCCTGTCCTCAGGGAAGCTGGACAGCCCTCGCCACTCTCATCTTCTCCATCCCAGGACTGAGCATCCTTGCAGACCTGGGGGACTCCGGAGCTGGGAAGATCTGAAAGGGCCTTTGCAGTCTTGTCCCAGGCATTCTGCAGATGAGCAACCTGAGGCCTAGGGAGGCCTGAGTCATGTGACTCAGCCAAGGTCATGTGGGGGATGAGAAGAGTGCTGACTGTGTTTAAAAGTGCTTAACTCAGCGGCCCATGGCAGTGTTTCTGGCCCTGAACCCAGGCCATCCAAATGGATACTTAATAATCCTCAGAACAATGCTGCTTGTCCCACAAGCTGCTGGTCTAAAAATGGCCCTGTCTAATTGCCATGGTGTCAGGATTAATTGCTTGCCCCAGTGTATTCCAGGGGAAAATTTTAAAACCAACAAAGACATTAGGACATCCAGCAGGCTTACACTTTGCCGGCAAAAGCCCAATGTCAGAGAGTATGGACATCACAAAATATGAGTCTTTACGTTTTCCTGTCTGTCCGCCACCTTGTCCCCAGCTCCTGCCAGAGCTTATGGAAATTCAGCAGTGCCCAGCAGGCAGCTGTATGGTGTGGTCATTTAAAGGCCTTCAAAATATTTACTACTTTTTGCAAGTGGAGATTCAGGCAAGATTCTGTGAGGCACAAGGGCCTGCTGCTGAGCTGCATTAGTTCATAACACTCACCAGCTGTTCATCATCCACCTACTGGGTGACAAGCCCTCACCTGTGCTCGCCATAGGTCCTGAGTGGGTGTGCATCAATTCAAATTGAAAATCATCACCTCTAAAGGTGAAAGACAGGTGCTCTGGAGTAACTTGATGGCCATCAGACACCCCCAAGGTAGGGACTCAAGTAGCATTATGATGACACTGGTCATCTTTGGCTCTTCTGGATCTCTATAGGACTTTGTATGATGCTAAGTCATATAATAATTGCATGATCTCAGTTAATTCTCATAGCAGCTGTAGAGGTACCACTTTTCCCTCTCCCCAGATAGTCTCTGTCACCAGCCATGGCCTGAACACCACACAAGTGGCCTGGACTGTGGCTGACTCGTGCCCTCCCTCTTCCTTGCCTTGCTTCCCCATGCGTGATGACTGCAGAGCCCAGTCTCACGTGTCCTCTACCTCTCTCTGTCTCGCAGACTCCCGCAACTCCAGGTGATGCCTTTCTCCCATCTTCATCCCAGACACTTCCGGCGAGTGCAGATGTGTTTGGTTCTGTACCTTTTGGCACTGCTGCTGTACCCTCAGGTAAGCCCTTCCACCAGCCGTCCTTCCTTTGTCCCCCATGCACTGTGAGGAAGAGAAAGAGATGACTGACGCAGCTGAGAAACCGCCCTGAAATGCCTGCAGAAACAGCATGCCCGTCTGCAAATATTTAGTGACACTGAGCAGCTGCCATGTGGATGAGGACTTAGAGATCAGATACCAAGATTTCCTGTGCACTGACTGAAATTTAGCATGTCTTTCACTTGGGAAATTCAAGGCTCCAGGGAACTCAGGGGAAAAGTGTTGGGGAGCATGGTATCCACATAGCCATGCAAACTAGTACAGGACCTTTTCCTCCTGTGGACCTCAGCAGAGGAGAGAAGCTATGAGCAGGAGAGGGGACAAGCCAGTGCCCTTCACATCTCTCAAACCCTGACAGGTAGAAGGAATCCTATTTGTTCAGTGCTGGCTCAGAAAGGGTTGGTTTCTTGTCCAGGATGGCAGGGAACTCTGATTTAGAAAGCATTTCTTTGGTTTCCCAAATATTTTTTTTTTAAACATGTGTATTACTTTCACAACAGGTAAAATTATCTATAAAAGCAATAATGCAGATGAGTTATAAATGAATGGGACCCCAGGATCATACCTGATTTCCATGGTGACTGGCATTATGGTGGCCAGGCCACTGTACTTGGAAAATGCCCAAAAGTAGGTTCCTTCTGTTCTTCACCATCCTGGAGGAGCTTGTGTTTTTCCTTTAATTACATATTTCAGAACAGTGACTTTGTCTTTGTCTTGACTTTATTTTTGTAAATGGAGGATAAGAGTTTAAATATTTTAGAGTACAAATCCTCTTGCACATTTTTCTATAAATAATTACTTTTAATTACATAGTATTAGAAGCTAATTCTTGTCACCAAATACAAACCTTGCTTTTATTAGAAGTAGATTAAAAATTCATGCCATCTTCTGAAACAGTTATTCTTCATGGGCCAAGAGATCATTATGAACTAGAAGCGGCAGTGCTTGGTAGTGACTAGACATGACTTACAGTTTAGAATCTGTAGGTAGCCTAGAAATTTATTAATTGCTAAGTTTCCCAACAGAATCTCCTTTTGCTCCTTACTGCAGTCTTAACGTGGCTGGGGTGACTCATGTTCCTGTTCTCAAAGGAACAGTGAAATCTCCTTGGGATTAGTGCGGTAGAATATAGTATGTCACTTAATGTCAGAACATTTTCCATTAGAAATGGACCACTCTGCTCTGCTTGAGCTTGGTGTTTAGAATACCCAAGCTTTGTCCCCATCATGTATCTGTAAAGATTCTGGGGTAGATGGTGGGAACTCTAGGACCCAAACTCACTCAACTTCAGGTACGTTCATTCCACACATATTCTCTGAGTTCCTACTACACAGTAGCTCCTGTACTTGGGTCATGTTGGTAAACATGATAGATGGAGCACTTACCTCCTATCAGGGATACAGGAAACACCACAACAGTGAGTAACTTGTGCAGTGTTAGCAAATGGTAAGTGATATGGACAAAAGGAAACTCAGGGCAGCAGATAGTGCCCATGAGTCCAGGTCCAGGAGCTTGTGATCAGGAGTGTGGGGTGCAATAGACTGGGAGATATGGACTTGGCGTCGGGGTGAAGATGGTGCTAGGTGCGACTTCATGCTCCTCCTGCACTAACGCTGACTTGAGGCATCCTGAGGACCTGGCTGTGCAGTCCAGCACTACTCTGCCTCTTCCCAACCTATGCCACTTTAGGGGCTTGGACTATTATGGACTTTATTCTTGCTACCAACCATCCACATTGCAAACTGTGATCAACCTACCTCTTATAGTTGTTATAAAATTGATTACATCCTTGACTTCAATTTTTGGAACAGAAGTCTGAAAAATTAACTTCAATTAGTATATTTTTTGCTTCCGTACTATATTTAAGAAATGCTTGTGATATGCTTCAATTGGTGTGAAATTATCTGCCTGCTCCCTTTCCACCTTTAACTGGTCTTAAAAGTCTCTGCAGCTGGTGCCTCTCCATCTCCCTGTTCCTGATTGTTCAGCCAGTGAGGAGTGAAAGGGGCCGAGAGCAGGGCTGTGCCACACAGTGGATGAGCCTTTGCTGAGCACTTTCTGGCTCTCAGAGGCTGGTTGAATCCTGCTCAGCCTTTTGGAGGCAGATGAGAGTGAGCAGGAATGGGAGGGAGTCTCATGATGTTGTCAGGGTAGGCTCAACTCCTCAAGCACTCTGCCCCAGCCTTTTAAGTAGCTGTGATTACAGGTACTGGGCCAGGAGCAGGCATTTTTAAAATAAACTTTAGCCTCCAAGGCAAATTACTAAGCTGTCAGAGCCACAATTTCTTCATCTTTACACCTGAGTTAAAGAAAAAACAAACACCTTGCAACAACAATATGAAAATAAGATGAGAAAATAAAATTCAGTGCTGTGGAAACCACCAGGGCATTGTAGATACTAGAGATGCAACACGCTGTTGTTGCTGTTGTTGTTGTTAGTTTGACTTCTAAAGTAGAAGAAAAATCTTCCTTTGCCTTCTCGGAACTGTACTGTGTCAAGTGAAGTTTTCAGGTTTCAGTCTTTGGGCTGCTCGTGGTGCAGGTCTGCAGGGTACCATGGGAAGCAGACTTGTGGGCATAGGTTCCACCCCTAATTCTCAACTGAGTCCCCTGCTCAGCTTCCCCAAAACTTACCTGCAAAAAGGGATCCTCACAACTTCACGCCCTAGAGCTGTGCCAAGGATCACACAGTGGACAAGGAAGCAGAGCAGAAGTAAGGGCCGCAAAGGGGGCGTGCAAGCAGGTGTGTGCTGATGGCCAGGACGCTGACTTCCCTGTCCTGCAGGCAGCAGTAATGCACAGCACACACCATCATTGCAGCATTGTCTTGAGTCCCCGCTCCCGTGAATGTAATTTAACTGAGGCAAGGATTTCAGCTTTTCTGTGTACTTCACTGCATCTCCAGAGACTAAAAGAGAGCCTGACACTGATGAACATATTTTGGAATTCATGAGGTATTCATTAATTGAATAAAGTAGCTAAGAGACACCATGCAAGTTCTGTATGACTGTTGGAGTCTTTTAGTGTTTTTCTTATATTTTAGTCTGCCAATTTTTTTCTTTTTCCAAATGATGTGGATGCCTCAGCTGCCTGCATCTAGTTATGAATTGCAATTTTCCACACTATATAGACCTAGCTGGGAGGCAGTCAGGCAGGTGTTCTCCTTCGGTTCACAGCGAGGAGGTTTATGATTGATCTGAACTCTGTGCCATAAACAGATGCTCCTTGGCATCTCCTCCCTCCGCTGCTGCACATTAACAAGTAAGTGGTTAACAAGTTGTTAAGTGGTGGCAGTGGCAGCCAGCAAGTGGCTCCCTGAGTGCAGTGATGCCACAGTCGTGCTGCTGAGATGTCCCCTTAGGCATGTTCCATTCCACATGGCCCTGGGACAGCCTGAGCTGCAGGGAGCCTAACCTAGGAAAAGTAAGCAGACCTGTGAGCCCCAAACATGGTACCCAGTTGCTCTGTGCTACCTTTTTCTCTTCTTAATGTTGTACTTCGGTCTGAACAGATGGCATGAAGCCAGGGAGACATGCTAATAGCTCGCTCCAGAAAAGTGTGCACAGACCATCTGTTATTTCCTTGTTAAAAAAGAAAAAAGCGAGAAGAACTGGAAAGAACAGAAACAAACCTGCCACCAACAGTAGAATCCTGAGAGGTCTAGCCCTTGTGGATTTTGGCATTCTGCTATACTCTTGGGAAAATGCAACAAAATCATGGATTCCTCTAGGACCTTGAAGTAGACCCTTCCTCCAGACTCAAGCATTCATGGGGCTACTGGTATCTGCAGAAACTTGTGTACACAAAAAGGAGAGAAAATAAAAGGCTCCTGCCAGCACTTGTCCTTGTGTTGTAAGAGAAGCCTCAGGCAGACAGAGCACCATGTGCTGAGTGTTGCAGTGGAGGGGAGCACACAGAACTGTAGAGCCCAGGGGCTCAGCTGCATGCCTAGGGCAGCAAAGGCTTTGGGCCGAGGGGATGGTGAACTAAGCCTCGTATAGCAGACCAGGGTCAGCAGGGAGGGGAGAAGGTTAGTGACAGCCCAGCAGAGGGCACAGGGACAGCGGGTGGGTGCTGTTCTCAGCTGCTGGGGAAAGGGGAACACAGGACACCGCTTGAAGGTGGTGATAAAGACATAAGGGGACTGACTGCCAAGGGTCACCAGCTATACCCAAGCACGTGAGCTTTATGCCCAGACAGCAAAGTGCCATGCGGACGGTCCCCGACCTACCTCACAATGGTTCAATTTCAGGTTTTTCAACTTTACAGTGGTGAGAAAGCAGCATACTTGACAGGAACTACACTTTGCGCTTTGATCATTTCCCAGGCTAGCCACATGTGGTGTGATACTCTCTCCGTATACCGCATAGTCACAGGGAGATGCAACCGCTGCTGAGCCACAGAACCAGGGCTGTCAACAGCAGACGAGCTACAGTGTCCTGTGTGCAGAGCTGGGAGGTTTGTCAGATTACATGACTCCTCAGCTTTACAATATTTGCACCTCACCGTGGGCCTGTGGGGGGATGGATGACCTCCTCACACAGCAAGGAGCACTTGTATCTGTATTTTAGAAGTCTGTGGTGGTAAGTGAAAGAAGGAAGAAGGAAGCAGAACTAAAATAGGCTGCATAAAACTGAAATCACCTACCCACTCAGCACTGTGGCGTTGGGACCATCGAAAGTCTCATGGGTAGGTCTCTCTATAAGACCCATTTGCAGTGTCAGCTTTCATGGATTGCAATGAAATTCAAGGATAGTAATGTGTTTCAATAAGGCGACACCCAGGCTTGAGCATACTACAAGATGTAGTAAGTAGTTAGCTGCTCAGACCTAAATCAGAGCCACCCCTGAAAGTTACAGGTACCATTATACTTCCAGCAAAGAAGGTGCAAGTTCAAGTTCAGCCCCATGAGGAGTGTTTCTGTCAAAATGGTGAAAGCCCCTAGAGTGTTCCAAATGAAACAAAATAAACTCTTCTGTGTATACACTTGTTACATTCCTAAAATATCAGAACTGTCTGAAGAACCTAAATGTCCATGCAGTTCAAATTCTAGTCTCAAATGATTGTGACCAGGATGTGGGATAATGCTTTGCTGAGTCCATGCGTCTCTCACAGTATAGCACTCCTTACAGTGTTAGAAAGGGCCCACCCCACCCTGCAGTTATGGGACTAAGTACATGCTTCGAATTTTTCAGTTATCCCTAGGGTGCAGTAACACTGCCATTGTGAATAACTGCACCATATCCAAGTAAATCAGAAAGTAAGAAAAAACTAAGGGACAGAACTCTTCATCAGTTGGTGGATTCCAACTCTGAAATTTCATCATCCATCTCCACCCATCTTGCTTCAGCACAGTTGGACTAAAAGACTTCACAAGGATATTTTTTAGTGTATTTGTTGATCTCTCTTCCTTATTCCATAAAAGCATGTAACACTCCTACATTAGCTAGCAAGAAGCTCGAGTGTCCTGTTTGTGCCCCATGGATCCTCCTCTTGTGGTGGCATATCATGCGGGATGGAATGGATCCCTAGCCAGGAAGTGCTCAGGCTTTGAATGCTAACTTGACCCAGTGTCAGTCAGGTGAGGCTGGACTGTGGTATGAGGCACCCTCTGCACAATTTCCCCGGGTTCACCAGGGTCTCTGCTCAACCCTGGATTTGATCAGTACCACATCATCCATCCAGCATCCCTGTGGAGGTTGCTAGGGTACCCTGGGTCCATGCCTCTTCCTGACCTGTCTCACTACAGCTGCAAACTCCTTCTGGCCACCATGAAAACCTTTGTGTTGTGAGGTCAGGTGAAGCTGACTTCATACCCACAGCTCTGCCTGGATGGCCCCTTGGCTTCCAGGGTTGCTGCCCAGGCAGGTGGCCATTAACCCTCCTGGGACACATGGAAAACCCAGATACACATGAGAGTTTTTTGTGGACCTGCAGTGTGCTGAAATGTTCTTTGATGAGCCACATCCATTGACTGTAAAACAACAGAAATTAGTCTTGGCTATCTAGGTGAAACTGGTGGGCTTGAGGAACAGATCACCTCAGCTTTAGATCCTGATCCTACAGCGTACAAGCTGCGTGACTGAGCAAGCTTTTTTTTTTTTTTCTGGGCACCAGTTTCCTCATCCTCAGTGCCAAAGATACCCACCATGCAGGGACTGTGTGACGATGTTACTGGTGTGCTGTAGACATTTGTAAGCCAAAAGCCAGTGCTGTGGCCATTAATATTGTAATAAATGTCACTTATGCTCCTGTTAGAAACTAATGCACCAAACAATTATCATGATAATATATGTAAGTACATGCTTTGGAATTTTCTAGTGTCCAATCTGTGCCCCTGTATAAAGTGCTCTTGAAGAGACAATAATCCTCATATTTTTAATTCTCTAGAATAAATGCAGAAATAACACTCCGTAATATCCATACCTTTCCTCAGTACATGACTGGTATATAGCAAGAAGGTACTGAGTATTTTAGAGGTTCTGTCTTACTAGATCATACAGCAGCCTTTACAGATGACTTGCTGGTATTAGTGTAGCACTCCACACCTGGGCTGTGTCATCTCAGGCTTCAGACCAGCACAGTGAGACAGAAGGCATCTCAGGCCCCTTTTACCGAGAAGGTCATGTAAAAGTTAAGAAACACTTTTTACATTGGGTACATAAGAGCTAGTAGTCTGAATTTTAGCCTAAGCTTAGGAAGTTCTACCATTCTGGTCCATTTTCACTGGTCACATTGCTGCGATGCTGAAAGGTTTTATAACCTGACTTTCTAAAGCCAAGACTGACCTTTAGAGTGTGTAAGCAGTTGAGAGGCAAGGTGAGAGCCTGGGCGTGCCTGCTTTCCTCTCCCCGCTCTGCCACTCGGGCACGCTGACTGCTGAGGCTGTGAAACATGGGGACTGTCTCACTGCTGTAAAAATGTTGCTGTTATCCCCTGGGCAGCTGCAGGGCTTGTCTCCCTTCTGCAGAGCAGTCTCTAGAGTAGTATCCCTGGCCACTTGTCTAGAGAGATGGCTGCTGGACAGCATCCTGCAATCCCTGGCTCCCAGGGTGGCATTCAAAAGATGATAGACACATTCTGTCCATCTCTGGAGCTCACAAACTCTGCTTGCCAGGTACCTAACCTCCTCTTGTTCTTCCAGGTTATGTTGCAATGGGCGCTGTCCTCCCATCTTTCTGGGGCCAGCAGCCCCTCGTCCAACAGCAGATCGCCATGGGTGCTCAGCCACCAGTTGCTCAGGTGATGCCAGGGGCTCAGCCCATCGCATGGGGCCAGCCGGGTCTCTTTCCTGCCACCCAGCAACCCTGGCAAACTGTGGCCGGGCAATTTCCTCCAGCCGCCTTCATGCCCACACAAACTGTTATGCCTTTGCCAGCTGCCATGTTCCAAGGTCCCCTCACCGCCCTTGCAACTGTCCCAGGCACAAGCGACTCCACCAGGGCAAGTCCACAGACCGACACATCCAAGCAGAAAATGGGGAAAGAAATGTTTAAGGATTTCCAGATGGCCCAGCCTCCGCCGGTGCCCTCCCGCAAACCTGACCAGCCCTCTCTCACCTGTACCTCAGAGGCCTTCTCCACTTACTTCAACAAAGTTGGGGTGGCACAGGATACGGACGACTGTGATGACTTTGACATCTCCCAGTTGAATTTGACCCCTGTGACTTCTACCACACCATCGACCAACTCACGTAAGTGCCCTTTGCTTTTGACATAGGATCCAGTGAGAACAGGGCCAGGTCTCTGGAGATTGAGGATCTGAGTCAGAGAACCCATCTCATTTTCTCGTCTGTCTCCTGACTGTTAGGGGAGCTGCCAACCCAGATGCCAGCACAGAGAATGCACCTCTCCATAGGCTCCAAGGTGCCTTTACCTTGTATGATGGTGATGCAAATCTTTGATAGAGATAGTCATGGTGAGGTGCAAAGACAAACATAATAAATGAGGTGATAGAGCTGAGTACAACTCACCATTTCCTGCCCCTTCCGGCTGTGTTAGTGTTTGCTCATGCATTCACTTATGTGCACCCCAGTTTATGATACACAAATTTGGGTCTGGCTCATAGAAATGAAAATGAGTGGAAATGTAAATATTTTTACTATTTAGGAACAAAGGGCCAGGGATTTAGCTTAGTAGCATACGTGCCTGCCTGGCAAGCCTGAGGTCACAAGTTCAATCCACAGTACAAAAACAAAAAAAAAAAAAAAAACAAGATGTAGACACTAACATGGAAAGAAGATCAGGAGAAAGTTGAAAGCAGTGTTGTGGCAACTGTGAAGTCTAGCCTATCTGTGGTAGCACCAGATTTCACTCAACACTTCAGGTAGTCACAGAGAAAAAAAGATTTGGGGAGTGGAAAGCTCTCCACTGAGGAGGAGCAGGCTGCATCTTCTTTTCTTGTTAGTTTTATGCCTTGGGCAAGTAGTTTCATTTCTCTGAGCCCGTGTTCCTCACCTGATGCAGGATGTAGGTTATAAAAAGCATTTAGTGCAGGTCCTAAAATACTCCATGCCCACAACTCTGCAAGTGTTGTCCCTTGTGAAGTGGTTTTGGGTAGAGTGCTGGACTGAGGTTCCTGGTACCAAATCCTCTACAACTGTCCATGTCCATGACAACCACGTGGCTTTTCAGAAGTGCAGGGAACTGGTGTGATCTCCTTCTCCTTCTGCTTTCCACATTATGTGATTCTATCCAGGTGTCTTCTCAATATCAAGAAAACAAAAATGACAGCCAAGTCAGAACCAGATACATGTGAGCATTCATGTGATTGTTTGACACACTTCAGAAGGTTGTTCTGGTGACTCAGCCTATACCATGACAAATGACAAAGGAATAGAAAAGCTTATGGTACAATGAGTTTGGCATTTTCATTACTGTCACTGGTGATATGGATCACTGCATGGCCAGCACTGTGAATTGTCAAGAAAAGTCTAATGTTAATACAATTAGATTGTGTCATTTCAACCAGGTGCAGAATAATGTTCTGCAAATTAAAGCCTGAGATGTATATAAACAACCCTCTTGCACACAGGCCATAGTTTCTACATGGTGGGGGCACCTCTATTAACTCTAACTCATAGAGTTTCAATGAAGAATAATGAATAAAATATTAAACGCTACAGAAATAACAGCGTGCATAAGTGTGTAAGCATCTTTTAAAAACAAATATCTTTTTCAGTGGATTTGAATGCTAGCTACAAGCAAAAAAAGGGAAGCTTAATTTCTTGAGGACAAGGGACATGTCTTTCCATATCCACACTTTGCATAATGATAGCAGAATGAGAAAGGTTGTAGAGAATAAAGTGACCCAAAAAAGGCTATTTATCTATGGCTGAGCTTTAGAGCAGGGTTTGCAACCTTGGCACCGTTGGCAGCTTGGGTCAGTATTCCTCTGCTGTGGAAGGAGTCTTGTGCATCCTAGGATGTCTTGGGGCAGTCCTAGCCTCTGCTCATTACATGCAAGTGACATTCCTCCCTTCCCTCTAGTTACGACAATTGAAAACTCCAGACATTGCCAAATATCCCCTGGAAATGAAATCCAGATTGAGAGCCACTGTTGTAGAGCACAGAGGTATTCTATAAAACCTTCTAAAGTTTAACATGTGCATAAATTCTAAATTATATTCCCCAGTGATTTTATTGGGCAAGTATGAGCAATATACCTGTCAGAATTGGCAGCACACCCTGTGTTTTTTGCCTTAGTAAGCATTAAAGCACTTCAAATACAATGCAGAATCCAATTAAGCTAATATTTATTAAACAGGTACTACCCATCAGGGTGTTTCTGCATAGCTTTAAGCCCATTATAACTTGTTTATTCCAAAAATCACTTCATGAATCACAACAGATTTTCTTTCAAATAAAAATAACTTAATGTTTTGTCTTAAAGAAAATGAATGAAATCAGACTTTATATTCTCTTATCTACCAAAAACCCTTTCAGAATATTTCAGTGAAGAACTGTGTGGCTCAAAAGTGAACCCTAAATAGAGGCAGAAAAGCACAGCTGGACTGAACAGTGCACAGGGTTTTGTGTTATACCTTGGGGCTACTGTTTCATAGCTGGACTGATCCTGAGCACTGATCCACACCTGTCTGAGTTGTAGTTGCTGACACTGGGAAAGAGGACAGGGGACAGCTCCTGGAAGTTGCTGGTGCTGCGGTGATTAATGGATGGGAACTGCCATCACTGTGACTGACTCATTTGTACAGTAGGAAAAATAAGGGTTTGAAGTAGCATCATTATTTAACATGTAAGTTCATCAGGGCAAAAAGATGCACTGAGTTTTACAGTCTCACTGTCTCAGAGGCTGCCAGACTTTTGAAGCTCTAGGAAGTCACAGCAAGGAGGCCTTATCACTGGGCCTGATATTCAGGTACTAAATGAAGCCATATCCCCTCTTCCCTTGACACTAAGCCAGTGACTGGTATTTTCTGTGCTGGATGAGGAATTATTTGAAGTGTGGTTTCCAGTAGAATATTTGTTGTAAACCCCTGGACCAAATGAGAGGAGGGGATCATGGGAGCCAGTATAGCAACTGCACAGCCTTTTAAAGCACAGCTGTGATGCTGCTGTCAGCCACACTCATCCTCCCACACCACTCCTGAGTCCTCCCTCCCCCGAGTTCTCTTTGTGCAGCACGTGGTTATGGATTATTATATGCAAAGTTTTAAGGCCTTGTCCTGCCAGATGTCAGGCACAGGTTAGTAACCTTCACTTTCCTTATCTGTAAGACTAGGATGACTCCCACCTCAAGGAGGCTCTGTGGGGACTGGAGATCTGCATGTAGAGTTTTGACCAGTGTCTTACATGTGAAAGGTTTTCAGTGGATGTGCTCTCAGATGAGGACAGAGAGAGAGAGAGAGAGAGCAAACCAGGACCGAGTGGTTCTAAAGTTGTGCACACATCAGAATTACCTACAGGGAGTTCATTAAGACACAGGGTTTCTGATCTAATAGATCTGGCGTGGGCCCAAACGCTGGTGTCCTAACAAGTTTCCAGGTAATTCTCACCCCTTCAGAACGGCTGCATTGGCCCTCAGTGTTAACGAGCCCCTTGCTTATGATCAAGTTATGGGAGAACAAGGTAAATGTGTGCAGAAGGAGGACCCACATGTTTAGCCCATTCACTTGGGATGGAGAAGCAAGCACTGATTCACACAGTGTTGCCTAAGTACACAAACTCAAGGCTCTCCGCACTGCTGGTCACAAACCAAACTGGAAGAGAACCAAATCAAATTTCCCCATAATGCCAACACCAAGCCTAACCACTGATTTCGATTCCATCTCATCCAATTTGGTTTGCATCCAGATTTGTGAAAGAAATCAAGTTCGTGAAGTGAGGCCGCACTGTATAAGCAGATCCCTGAGGTTTCTAGGGGTCCAGAGGGTTGTGCCAGGCACTTAAGATGTTTCCTCTATGTGTATGGTTTCTATGTAGCTCCAACCCCAGCCCCTAGGCAGAGCTCTCCATCCAAATCCTCTGCATCCCACGCCAGTGATCCAACCGCAGATGACCTCTTTGAAGAGGGCTTTGAAAGTCCCAGCAAAAGCGAAGAGCAAGAAGCTGTAAGTGACTGGTTTATTCTTTCTGTCTTGTTATGTATGTTTTATTTTTGCCTTAAAATTAAAACTTCTTTTTCCAAAACTGACAATGCATGTAGAAGTCTACATACAAGAAAATTCTGGCTCCAACTCTGCAGTGCTAAAGGGCTGCTAAACAGGCTTTGTTTTATGTTCCAATGATTGAGCCAGAAAATGGTGTCCTTTTGTTAAATTGTTATAGGCTTTTGTGCATTGGTGGAGTGGTAGCCTCTGAGTAAAGTTACACCCTTTTAAAATAGCTGGCTATGTATGCCGCATGAAAATATTCCTAGTTGTCTTATATTTTCTAGTTGTTCAAAAGAAAATAAAAATATTATCTCTTGTGTTCTAGCCTGATGGCTCGCAGGCCTCCTCCACCAGTGATCCGTTTGGGGAACCTAGTGCTGAGCCCAATGGTGATAATATAAGCCCACAGGCCGGAAGCTAGATAGTGAAGGTCTGGTAGGTACCTTCCTTTTTAATCCCTTTTACCCTGAACTAATGCTTTTGCTTGTTCTTTACTTCCAAGGTCATATTCATGATGTCTGCACCCACTTCTTGCCAGTTTATTCCTGATGTTTGTACCTTTTCTTGTCTGAGCTCTATTCCTGATGTTGGCATCCTCAGTCCTCGCCTGTGCTGTGTCACTGATATTCACAGCATTTCACCTTGCCTGAGCTAGTTGTTGATGTCTACACGATGTCTGCTTGCCTGAGCTGTATTACCAGTGTGAGGACTGTGTCTCCTTGCCTGGTGTCTCCCTCCTGCTCTGCTTTTCCTCTTTGATGAATGACCTTTGACATATACAAGGATATGGGGTTGGGGGATGGAAGTGGGAATAGTCATGCTTTATTAATGTTATCCTCTGAGTGGGTGGTAGTGACAGAATGATGCTCACTCAACATTGATCAATGCGGATTGTGTTTCTGAAAACAGCATCGTTCTGCAATGGACACATTCTGCCCAGCCTGATAATTTCTCAGTGTGCTGTGGTGCAGATGCTTTAATCTTTTACACAAAATGTCACTGCATTTGCCTACATGGCACAGATCTAAAGAGGTCACCAATCAAACATGCCAAGAAGCCAGACTATGACACAAAACCAAGCAGTGCTTGAAATAAGATTGATTGGGATGTAAGATCATGGTAACCCTTTTCATCTCGTCAGAAAGGGGCCTGCACCTCCTTCTGATGTGCAAGTGAAATTCAAAGCCCAGGGATGTGGAGCTGTCACTTCTGAGGCTCTGCTGTTTGCATGTGTTCTGTAGCCGATAGTTTGCCACCAAGTCACTTCAGATTCCATCAGCAGCTACTTGGAGAGAACTGTACCTACATTTACTAGAAGTGGCTTTTCGCACTTGAATTTCAATACATCTGATTTGATCGAAAGAACGAGGAGTGGATGAAGCGAAACTCCTCAGGAGAGAAGTACACCTTATCACCCAGACATGATTTCTAAGGTCACTCCTTGACAAATGTGTTCAATTTTCAGTTACTTTCCTAGTTTTCCATAAACATATAGGACTGCAAGGCCATACCAAGAGAGCTCCTTTTTTTAGACCTGAAAAGTATGGTCAGAGCCATTAAAATGGTAAACAGTTTTCACCATTCATAAATGGATTCAGAGGCTACCTCAGAATCTCCTTCCATGCATAAGTTATTGTGACAGTTATTGAAACCTAATACTGTATTTTGAAAGTGGATTTTATTAATAGATTTTATGATTAAAGAACTTAACACAATAACTGTGTATTTTGCCACACTTTATATCAGGACCACAGCACGTAATACTACATCATGCTGTGCAAAACCCTGTTATGGCCATTTATAAATTCAGTCGTGCAAAACTATCTTGAGAGCTGGCCTGTGAAAGGTGAAGTCAGATGCTTCAGAAAAGAGAAAGTGTAGATTATGGGTAGACCGTTTGGGCTAAACCCCCAAGAGGTGTTCTACCCCTTGCATATGTTATACTTTGCATGCTCAATGATGAATGAACTAGAGGTGACAAGAACCATTCATCAGAGTAACAGCAAACATCATACTAAAATTGAAGTTCTTCTAGAAAACAAAGATGATGTACACCATTTGCAGGTCAGTGTGTCAAACGCTTGTCTTCGTGAGCCTCCTCAGCTTGGAACAGTTACACAAGCTGTGCTGTTTCATATGCCTTCAGTCTGTTCCACTTTTAGTGCTGCATCCGGCGTGCCAAGCCACGGCTGGGGTATAAATGGAAATAGTGTGATGTAGTGGCGGGAGCTCAGGATTTAGAAATTGAGTTCAGATTGTAGCTCTTCTAATAGTGGAACTCTTGGGAAAGAGCCATTAGTTCTTTTGAGTCTTAGTTACCTTATCTGGTACAGGAGGCTTACGTTATGATATAAACAGATAGTATATCTTCAGTTTCTAGCACAGAGACAGGCGCTGAATACTCAGCTTAAACATTGTGGGTGCTCCGGTAATATTTTCTGAGTTCAGAATCTGGCTATACTTCTTGGCTATGTGACCTTGCCAAGATTTCATAATCAGTCTTTAGTCTTGTTTTCTTCATAGGGATAAAAATAATGTTCATCTCATAGGGTTGTTGTGTGAACTGATGAGGCAGTGTATGTGGAGTTCTTAGTACAGTGCCTAGCACATAGAAAACACAATAGATGCTAGGTGCTATCATCATCCCCACCATTCCCACCACCATCACTGTCACCACCACCACCACCATCACCACTCCAAGCACCATCATCATCACCCCACCACTCAAACAGTCATCAGTACCACCACCACCATCATCCTCACCCTACCACCGTCCATACCACCACCACCATCAGCCTACTACAGTCATCACTGTCATATGAGTTCATGTGTTCATTGTTCTGCTTCCTACTGTTTGAGCTTTATACCTTCAGTCCTTATGTTAAATATGGTCACTACCTCGGAGATTCTCTAGATTCTTTCTCCCTCCGGATAACCAATTTTCAGTTGCCTCTGAGTTGAAGGGCACCTGCTTGATAGCTCTATAGTTTTCCTGGCCACATAATCAGAATGACACCAGTTTGAATCTTTTCACTTGCAAAAATCCTGAAGACTGAGAGTCACATGTAAATTGTAAGTCCCTCCTAGCTGTAGTGGAAGACCAGTCTGTAATCTTGAAGAAGCAAGTCTTACCTACATTACCCCTTCTAAGAACTGTGCGCTGACACCCACCCCCTAGACAGGTCCCCTACAGCATCCACAGCCTACATGACGCTTTCTAGGGCCCTCTGCCAAGAGGAGCACGAGGCTCGTGTGATCTTTTTTTCTCCCTCTCCTATACCCATCCACCCATCCACTCAACTAGAAACTTACCAACTCCAAATTTTTAGTCCTTTCTGGACATTTGGCAAAGGAACACCATGCAGAGACAGTTATGGCCATGGCTTTGTTGTTCCCTCTGCCTTCCTACAGCAGGAAACAAGGAGCCCCAGCCTTCTTGTCACCTTCGCATCCATTATCTCCAGCAGCTTTTTCATTAGAAATAGGCATCTAGTTCTCAGTAAGTGGGGATGTCATCTGGTGATAAGTTAAAGCCATTTCCCTCCAGATTAAGAATAAACAGACAAACCCAATCCCCGCAGATGGAAGCTTCAGTCCTATTTTAGCAATAAAGGAAAATGTCTTCAATTAATTCACTTTTTTCCTCTACCTTCCCATCCGGGAGAATCACATGTCTTTGAAAGACTGAGTCAATGGTGGCAAAAGAGAACCAAAATAATATTATAATGGCTGGTATGGGAATGGCAGGTAATTTATACTTCACTGATGTGTTGCTAGAGCAATTTTAAGGGCGAAATGTTAGCTTTTGAAGAGATAAAAGAAAAATGAAAACATTTATTTGGTTAAATGGCTAAGTAAATAAACTGCCTATCAGACTTTGCCAGCTGTCAAATCAAAGTAGCATCTGTAACAATGCGAATTGTTCAGTCTGTCTGCCTTTGTAACAGTTGATATTGCAATAAATAATAATTCACTGTCATTTTTTAAACACTGATCTTCGTAGTGGGACTGAGGCATATAAAGTATTACCTGGTAGAAGTTCTAGCGTTCAAGTGGAAAAAAAGCAGAACTGTAGATGTTTTAGAAGGAGAATTCTTCTTCTTCTTCTTCTTCTTCTTCTTCTTCTTCTTCTTCTTCTTCTTCTTCTTTTTTTAAGACAAAAAGAAACACACAGGGTCGAGGGCACTAGTGTATGGACATAAATCAAAGCAGGTGACCTTAGGCAAGCATTGCTCACCTTTTATGGAGAAGCACAGATAATGGTCCCAGATCCCTTTCCAAGCTGTCTAAGAATCACATATTATAAATATGAAAGTGGTTTGTAAATTGTACAGGTAAAATGTATGCATTTGGGATTACCAAACAGCAGAGCCTAAAGTAAAGAATCAACAAATAAATAAATAAAATCGGACCATCTCATGGTTAGAGAATTCAGAGGCAATTCAACTACAGCTTTGGGAGGAATGGAGTCCCACATCTTCAGACCATCATAAAGAAAATGTTGGGGGGATGTTGTAGCTAGAAAACTGCTGGGGAGTTTCCTGCAGGAAATGGCCAGGGTCTAGATGCGGGCAGTGCCTACCAGGATGGAAAAGTGGGCGTGGAGCCAAGAGACAGCTAAAGCATGAAATTGGCAGGGGTTAAAACTAAAGGGACATGATAGGCAAACAACAGGACAGAAGAGTTTCACCGTTTCCTGATGCAGGAGACCAGTTGGTGCCAGTCCCTGTCCTGCAGAACACAGAGCAGCTTGCTTGAGCAGAAGCTTGAGATGCCCATCAGATTTCCAAGTAAAAATGTCAGTGGGCTGCTGGATGTGACCACTGGAGGTCCAGAGAGAAGTCAGGCTGCACTTCATGGTTTCCAGTAATTGAAGTAGTTGATGCAAGAAAAATACACTGATCATGTAGATCAGCAGTTGACCAATGCTGTATTATTTATTATTTATTATTTACAGAATATACATTCTATTGCAGCTCCTCTACAGTCAGACAGAGGTAAGCAGCAGAAGACAATGCCTAAACAAGAGGGTGTAGCTGCGTTCCAATAATACTTTAGTTACAAAAGCAGGCAAGCCCAAGAACTGGCAAATGGTCCATCATTTACTGCCTTCTTCTGTCTGACTACAGTGTAATGTTGTGAAGAATTTTCTACCTCAAGACCCAACTTTCAGGCTGAGAGTGGTCAGAATCTTTGTTTTATCTTTTTATTAAAAGGAAAGTAAAGATTCCCATCATATTCTCATAATCCCATAAGGCAGAGGTTGCAAACTATATTGACAGGTGAAAAAACAGAGCCCCAATGAAGAAATGCTGGCCTGAGTTCATGCAGGGACTAGGGAGGATTGCTCGAATCTCTTTGGCTCCAAAGCTCATTCAGTTTCCATAACCCATTTACATATGGATTCAGCAGGACTTTGAGTTATTTCAGCCTTA